ACCCAAAACCCTAAACCCAAAACCCTAAACCCTAAACCCTAAAACCCTAAAACCCTAAAACCCTAAAACCCTAAAACCCAAAAACCCTAAAACCCCTAAAACCCTAAAACCCTAAAACCCCTAAAACCCCTAAACCCTAAAACCCTAAAACCCCTAAAAACTAAAACCCTAAACCCTAAAACCCTAAAACCCTACTACCCTAAAACCCTAAAACCCTAAAACCCTAAAACCCTAAAACCCTAAAACCCTAAAACCCTAAAACCTAAACCCTAAACCCTAAAACCCTAAAACCTAAACCCTAAAACCTAAACCCTAAACCCTAAACCCTAAACCCTAAACCCTAAACCCTAAACCCTAAACCCTAAACCCTAAACCCTAAACCCTAAACCCTAAACCCTAAACCCTAAACCCTAAACCCTAAACCCTAAACCCTAAACCCTAAACCCCTACCCCTAAACCCTAAACCCCTACCCCTAAACCCTAAACCCTAAACCCTAAACCCTAAACCCTAAACCCTAAACCCTAAACCCTAAACCCTAAACCCTAAACCCTAAACCCTAAACCCCTAAACCCTAAACCCTAAACCCTAAACCCTAAACCCTAAACCCTAAACCCTATTTCTATTTTTTTTCTTATTATTTTAAAATTAATCTCTTTTTTTATTTTTATATATATTTTTTTCTTAATTTTCTATTTGATTTTTTTTCTTTATTCCTATGATTTTCTTTGGCTTTAATTTTTATAAATTATTTAGTTTGTTATTTCTTAATTACTATGGTCAATTAATTTCTTTTCCGTTTATGTATATTTTTGGTTTCTTTATTTCTTTATATTGGCTTATTTTTTTAAAAAAAAGTTGAATGCTATTTAGTTTTATTTAATTTGGCCATATTATTTCTAAATAGAAAGTTAATTTTTCTAGTTTCTTTCTATTTGATTTATTTACTAGTTTTTTCGGTTCTTTCTATTAAATCGATATATTTTTTGTTTCTTTTTTTCTTTATATTGACTTATTTTTAAAAAAAAATCTAACGCTATTTACTTTTATTTAATTTGACTATATTATTTCTAAATTGAAAGTTAATTTTTCTAGTTTCTTTCTATTTGATTTATTTCTAGTTATCTACTAATTTTTCGGTTCTTTCTATTAAATCTATATATTTTTTGTTTCTATATTTCTTTATATGGGTTTATTTTTTAAAAAAATTTAGATACTATTTAGTTTTTATTTCCTATTTATTTAATTATTTAATTTGATCATATTATTTCTAAATTGAAAGTTTATTTTTCTAGTTTATTTCTATTTAATCTACTAAAATTTTCAGTTTTTTCTATTAAATTTTATATATTTTTGTTTCTATATTTCTTTATATGAGATTATTTTTTAAAAAAATTTGGATGCTATTTAGTTTTTCTTTCCTATTTAATTATTTAATTTGGCCGTAGAAAGTTAATTTTACTAGTTTTTTCAGTTCTTTCTTAAATCTAAAGAACCATACTACCTCCATATTTTCGAATTTGGAACATCTCTAGGAGAATTTTAACAAATTTAAGCATGTGCAATATAATTATATTGATGAAAAATGATAAAACAAAAAATATTCAAAAACTCACCTTGGTCAGAGATTTGAAACTGATGTGCCCAGTGATCCTCTATACAAACAGCAATTGCGAGGGGAGTTGACCCTTATCCTAAAGCCACACAAAAAATATTGGAAAACAAATCAATGAGATTCGGAAATCATATCAAGAAGAATAATAATAAACCACATATTTTACATTTACTTCAACTATAATTTGAGGACCAAAAAGCAAGATCACCAAGAGAGCAATTGATAGTCAACTTAAATTTCCTTACAATAGTTTCACAAATTAAGCATCAACATATATCATAGAGAGCCGACTACATTTAAATAATACATGCAAATTACTTTGGCTAAATGAAAAATTCAAGCATTTTCCTCACTTTACTCCTTCTCAAACTAGGCATGTGGTAACTAATAACTAAAAATTTCATATATTAATGATAATTAATAACTTCAAAATAAAAAGTAAGAGACTAAATGACATAAGATTAAGATTATTTAGGTGATTATGTTAAATTAGTGAAATAATTATGTATTACATGATTGTTTGTGTTATATGGTTATCCTATTATGTTCTTTGATGACACCGCATAAAGTCATCAAAGAAATAGGTAAATCATCAATCTTGCAAGATGAGATAAAAAATAAAGAAAAAAGGAGGAAGATCAATTCTTTAAGAACCAAATCACTGCATGTTAGTGCTGGATTACCTTTTGATGTTTAGCAGATAGCTCAGCAACTGCAGCTTGCTTCCTTTCATCTGCTGCTTGCAATAAACCTCGCATGTCTTCCAAAACCTGAAATGTGAACACCACAACATGATGGCAACAAATTAGATATTCTTCACAGGCACATGATGTACATAGTAAAGCTATATGATATGTTATGAAGTGAACCAAAAATTACAACATGATTCTGGTCCAAAGAGTAATAATAACAATTGGAAGAATAAATTTCGACAAATATAAAATGAATCTAGTAGGTAAATATTAAGAAAAGATGCCACAGCAATTCAACTTTCATCGTTTACGGGAATATGTTTCTACTGTGTGTCAGAGTTGTTTGTGGTTGTAAGCTGGATTTGAAAAACAATTTGAAAAAGTAGGTGCATAAATTTGGAGGAACATATAGTGAATCCAGTAGGAAACTATCAAGAAAAGATGCCACAGCAATACAACTTTCATCATTTATAGGAATATAAACATTTTCAACTGTATGTTAGAATTTGTGCTTGTAAAATGGATTTGAGTTTTTTTAAAAAGTAAAAATGTATGAAAAAATAAGTGCATGAATAAACACATACAAGCAGACAAAAGATTCAATTTTTGTCTTTTAAAAGAACATTAAATTTCAACTTTATGGTAGAACCGCCTGGGGTTGTAAGATACACTTCCAACTTTTTTCCAAAGTAAAAAAATGAAAGTCTAATCATCTGCTAAACGACCATAAATAAAATGATAAATGCCAGAGTTACTCATATGCATAAACGCCTGCAAGAAGACATACAAGGTTAACGTAATCCAACAGCTTAACTTTGAATGAATAAAGTCTCATTCAAGTCCTGTAATTATAAAAAACTAATAATGCTGCAGCCTATTCTCTATAAATATCATGTATCGTTTTCCTCACTTTGCTCCTACTCAAACTAGGCATGTGGTAACTAATAACTAAAAATTTTATATCCCATATCCAACATTGTCCCATCAAATCTAATCCCCTTTTAAACACCTAACAACACAAAAAGAAATCTTAAAATAGTAATAATAATAATAGGCCAATAAATATAAGAAACAACAAACCAAGAACTGAGAGATAACGAGAAGACAAAGAAAAACAAAAACCTTTGAATTGAAGTTTCGATGGGAACAATCTATTTAAAACGCGAAGGATGTTGAGAAAAGGGATTGGCATCATCGGGTGTAAAAGTGAAGGTTTTAATGGTGGAAGTTTAGAGCATCAAGATTATTCAAGATAAATGGTCGGGGGCCCAGCAGGGATGTTCTCCTTGGCGTATCAAATTATCAGGCTTGGAGGAGAATGAATCAGAGAAGAGAGAATGTAAGAGGCAAGGGGGTTAGATTATTCAAGATTATTCGAGATAAATGGCCGGGGGCCCAGCAGGGATGTTCTCCTTGGGCGTATCAAATTATCAGGCTAGGAGGAGGAATCAAAGAAGAGAGAGTGAAAGAGGCAAGGGGGTTAGATTTTCTTTATCCTTTGCCGGTGGCAGTGAGCAGATGAGGCAGGAGGCAGAAGATGGTGTGTTCGAGATGAAGAGCACCGTGAAGACAAGAAGATGGCGTGTTCAAGTTGGTGAATGATTTCAACTATAAATGGAGCCAAAGTCGACTAGACAGTGGCGTGATTTTTGAGAAAAAAAATAAAAAGAAGACAATTTTGGAGGGGACGGAAGAGAGAAGAGAGTCTTTTCTTCTTTTCTCTTTTTTTAATGTGTGTCAGCTCTTCCTCTTTCCCAAGCCAGGTACAGGAGAAATTGTCAGATGCTATAAATGTTCTCCAAACAGGAGGCTTATTGTCATCTGTCAGGATTTACCCGTTGTATTCTGTTTATACATATATTCTTTATTTTTTTAAAAATTATTAACGTACTAAAGAGCTTTAATCAAAAAAAGGAAGAAACTGCTGTGAATTTAAGCACAATGATATTTGGGATATATACATTCTTTTTTACCAAAAGAAATAAATCTTTGCAAATTATTTAGAGATTAATTAGGAAAAATATGGTTGAACTCTATCAAGCCCGATAGTCATGTTCCTAATGTTTGTGCCCGCATGGAATTTGTCTTTAATGCTCAATGGGTAAATAATCAAAGAATCATGAGTATCTCGCAACAAACCATATAGCAAAATAAATTTTTTTTTTTGAAATATTATGCAGAAAAAGAAATAATAAGTGTGATACTTAAGACTTATCATATATGAGAAATTTTAAATGTGATGTACTAGACTTTTATCTCTAAATTCTTAAACGGACAAATCAACCGTAAATATTATGTTTAACATATTTTAATAAAGTTTTTACCTTAAACTTTGAGATTGTTCCATCCTTAAATGTTTTTGTGCCTAAAACATCTAACTCCCTAAAAAATATGATGCATAATATCGCACTTTG